ATTCAGCTATTGCGAATAATGCAAACCCGCATTGCCAGCGTGCCTCTTCCATTCCCTGATACACACCTGGAGTAATTTACTTTCCTTGTATCCCGTGCTCCCAGAGGGCCCTGTACCACATGCTTTCATGCAGAGGGTCCAAAGTTTCATTTCTACGGTTGCAAATAAAAAGGACCTTGGGTTAACAGGACTGGGAAGGACTCTTTCTTGACAACTGCTCCCAGTGAGAGTGGACAGTACAGGGCTACCTGGGCCAGCGTTTGCCTCGGCATTGTGGTGGAGAGGGCCGTCCAGTTGCAGCCGACATATGGCAACCCCTTCTGGGGTTTTCAAGGCAAGAGATGAGCAGAGGTGGTTTGACATGGCCTGCCTCTGCATCACGACTCTGGTATTCCTTGATGGTCTCCCATCCAAGGACTGACCCTGCTTAGCTTCTGAGACAGGATGAGATCAGGGTACCCTGGGGCCATCCAGGTCAGGGCAAAACATTTGTGTGTGTAAAGGTCTGTCAAGTTGCAGCTGGCTTACAGTGACCCTGCGTGGTTTTCAAGACGAACAGAGGCGGTTTGCCATTGCCTGCCTCTGCAGAGCAACCCTGGACTTCCTTGGTGGTCTCCCATCCAAATACCAACCCCACTTAGCTTCTGAGATCTGTTGAGATCTGGCTAGGCTGGGCTATCTGGGTCAGGGGCCTCAGGCAGCTTCTTTGCTGTCCTGCCGAACTCATCCAGGTCAGTACACAAAAATTAGGGACGTATGAATAGCTACCAACTGTCTCATTTAAAGCAATGATGCTGTCCACAGGGGATTTAAGCAGTATATATATTATCTTCTGCTTCCTGTTGACTGAAGGTCTTTTTAGAGGACACAAAAGGGCAGTAGCCCAGATTACCTGTACGGAGATACCTCTACAATCAGTGAGGGGCAGCCCTGCTGTAAGGGGAAGCCTTGCTCAAATCAGGACTGGATGGATGTTCTGGCACTACACAGTAAAATCCAGTTGCGAAGTGCATTGAAATTGGATTGGAAGTGCCATTATTACGAGTGTGTGAAAGCACCTAGAGCAGCATTACACACTCAGGAAAGGGGGGGGGGATGCTTTTCATTTAAAGTCCTGAAATAAAAAGAACAGGATGGTGCAGGATCTATGTCAATAATGACAATACCAACCAAGTTCAACTAGTTCCTTTGAAAATCACTCAACCACAAGCCAACTGTCACTGGATAGCACCGTGCTAACTGTGAAAAGAATCCAGTTCCCAACTGTGCAAAGACAATGACCTGTTGAGCTGAATGGCCTTGATGCTGTGACCAAAACTTTGGTAACTGGGGAGCATATATTATTTTCTCCCTCATAGTGAGGGATCAGAGAAAAGGTGAGGGTCTTTTACTCTGTACGTGCACATGAGCTGATGAA